ACCCCCTCCCCCTCTGGGTCAGTCGCCCGTGCGCCCTCCCCTTCTCGTCGGCGACGTCCCGCCGGCCGGTCTCAATGTCGACATCCATATCCCGCTGGTCTTAGTCCCTTCCTGGCTGAGAGCTTTTGTCGTCGAGCCCCCTTTTCCAGCAATCGGCCACGACCATTTTTGGGCTTCTCTTCCTTTTGGTCGGCCACTTTCCGGCCTCTCCACCTCGCTGGCGACGTCCATTGGCCTTCTTTGCCAGCACTGAGCTTGTGACGACCCTGCTGCTACGTGCAACCCCGAATTTCACAGCCCCCTTGTCGACCTCCTCTAGTTAAGCCTTCTTTTTGGCTCCTCTTTCGTCGACAAAGCTTCCCTCGCTAGCGGAACCTCTGATAGCAAGGTTCATGTCGTCGCCTCCTTTGTGTGCAGAACATAGGGCAGCACACTTCTCTCTCCCTTGTTGTAGCGGCGAACACTTGCGGGGCGACGATAGCGTTGCGATGCAAAATCCGACATTCGACCCCTCCTCTTAAAGGTACATTTTGGTTATATTTTCATATGTCAAAATTAATTATTTTTTGGTACTTTGCATACCTCACTGATTTTTTTCTCCTGCCCTCATTGAGTCTTTTTGTTGACCGGTGCACGTTATACGAGTTACATTGGAGCTCGGATCGGAGCACCCCCGGGATTCGTCGGAAAAGTGGGCTCTCCTTCAACATAAAGAGAACGCATTCGCAACCGTTACGGTGTTGAGATCCCCTAAACTCTTAGTGAGCCCTAGGTTTAGTGGTGTTTAGGTGTGTGGTCTAGGCATGTGGGTTCGATCGCCCACACGGGGTGCGTGTGCTGGTGTGGGTCGGCGCGATGACGTGCCTGCGTGATGGATCTTTGGATTTCCTAGAGCTAGCCTTTAGGTTAGGATTTGTGTAGCCAACACCCTTCGTAGAGCCGAGTGTCTCTCATTTGTTGTGAGCCTTAACACAAGTCCTGATGGGTCGGAGTCCATCACTCCCCTTACTTTGGGTTTCCCAGCTTTACTTGAAAAAACTGGGAGGTTGGACTTGACAAAACTAGATAAGCTTTAAAGCTGACTCGTTTTGCAAAGTCCGGAGTCCACGAAATGGGAAAAGCTTTGCAGCTAGCCCATTTCGTGACACTTTGAAGAGTTTCCCCCTTGGAGATCCGAGGAAAAACTCCCACATTTCTTCACCAGAGCAAGAGGTTGTTAGCACGAGCCCGGTTTGCTATCTACATTTTGGTTTGCTGCATATTGAATTTTTGCTTGGTGCATGTTGCATTTCACTTTGCTCCAACCGACCGCCCGGTCCGGCAAGCATTTCACTTTGCTCCGATCAGTCGCCCCAACCCGACGAGCATTTCACTTTGCTTCGATCGGTCGCCCCGGCCAGATGAGCATCTCACTTCGCTCTTACCGTCCGCCCCAGTCCGGTGAGCATCGTACTTCGCTCCAACAGGCCGTCTCCGGCCCGACGAGCATTTCACTTCTCTCTGATCGTCCGCCCAGGCTCGATAAGCGTCTCACTTTGGTTCGACCGACCACCACGGTCTGATCGACCGATCACTTGCATTTTTGTTTGATTTTGCATTATATCACATGTTTGTCTTTTTTCATGTTGCATATTGTATGTGTTAGCTTGCATGATCATATTATCATTTGCTTGTGTTGCACTTCTTTGGGTCACTGCTGGTACGACACATCCATCCCTTTTGGTCACTGCCACGTCACACCTTCCTTGGGCCGCTGCCATGCCGCTGCTGTCATGGCAAACCCATCACTTTTGGTCAATATTTCCTCTACACACCTTTGAGTCGCTGTCGCCACGACACGCCCATCCATTCCAGTCACTGCCTCTTTGACACACTTTCTTCGGGCTGCTGCCGCCATGACACGCCCATCTCTTTTGGTCACTGCCGCTTCGGCACACCTTCGGGCCACTGCCGCCACGACACGCTCATCCATTTCGTTCACTGGTGCCTCGACACACCTTCCTCGAGTCGCTGTCTCTACGATATGCTCATCTTTTTGCGGAGTCACTGCCCACGGTACACTCATCACTTCTGTCACATGATTGTTTGCAATTGCATTTGCATGTTTGCATTGATAGCGAGCCAGACTCGTTAGGTGAGTGACCCTGTGTCGGTCGCGATGCCTTGACGAGCATTGCTTGCTAGGTTGATCCCGATGAGCAATGCGAGTTAAGTCATCGACATTGACATGATTATGATTGTGCTAAAGATCTAATAGATCTAACTCGTGTCACCACTCTTCGTGACACCCTTTAGATCCTTCAGATCTTTAGGAAGGGGGCTTGTATAGCGACCCCGTCAAAGTCTTATTATACCAAAACTTACCCCACACTTAGGTACTAGGTTGGTGCACTTTTCGCTAGATTGTGTGCTAGACTAGGATTTAGGGTGCTAAGTAGTTTTTTTGATGTCTAGCAATTGTTCTCTACCGGATTGATTGTCATAGCCAAAAATCTTTTTTTTGCATTGTGTTTGTGGTGTGACTGCATGCTACATATGTGTGGTAGTGCGGTAGTGTGTTAGAGTGTTTTTCTGCAGGGAGCCATGTCTATTATGCACACACACATATATCGCTATGGGGGAGCAAGTAATGATTTCTAACAATCTGCTTGCAAGTGCTATTTAGTCCCCCCCCCACTTTTAAGGCATGACTCATTGTACATTATTTGCATGTGAACTTTCCCGCTGACACTTGTTTTCATGCAGAATTGAGTCTTTTTTTTTCATTTCCTATGTACTTTTTAGAAGTTTAGGGGAGTCCTATAACAGAAATAAGATACAGGCACGAGTTCCGAGGTGTTTGGCACGGGAACCACGTGAGCAGATGCTCTTGCCATGTATCTTAATTATGCATTTTATATTGATGTATAAAATTAGGACCGGGCATGTATATGCGAAATTCGACCGCCTTTTTCTTTTCTGGGATATGTTGCCGACCTAGGGGCACCGACCTGTTTATTAGTTTGACTTGGCTTGTTTTGTTTTTTGC